TTATAACTCTTATTCAGAGTACTGTCTTAGTGGAATATTTCTAGACTTCCTAACTGTCTGATGGAGATAAATTGAAACAGAGTTTTTTAGCCTATTACAAAGCACATTATTTGAAGGACGTGCGATGTAGGAAAGGGAGGAAATATGCATGTAGCTCTTACTATTGCTCATTTTTACTGTTTTATTAAAGAGCAACTTGAAAGCAAACAAAAATCAGCTCCTTACCACAGACTGTGCTTTTAGCTGCATCATTCTCAACGTGGGTGTTATAAACCTTTACTATTACAAATAAAACCTGTGGAGTTTAAATGCAGGAGGCAATGAAGAGCTGCATCTGTGAGCTGGTGTTTAGGTGCTGAAGGCCTGGGGCTTTAGCAGGTGCAGTGCTCATGGCAAGCAACAAGAGAGAAGCTTCTTTTCCAGGGCAGGGTTGGTGGCTCAGCTCAGATCTGCCTCGGCGTTGATGCTGACGTGCCAGACTTTGCACTGAAACAACTGAGGATTGTTCACAAGTTCAGGTTCACCTGCTGTGCTCTAACGATGTCTGCTGCAAAGCTGTACATCATCTGTGAAGGGAACATATGGCTCCTTTCTAAACATGAGGATGGAGTTTGGTAGTTGTATTTTAAATATCCCAGGACCTCACAAACAGTATTTAAAGAGGTTTTCTTTTAAATCTGCAGTTGGTCGGTGTTTTATCAGTATTTTTATTTTTTTCTCAGGATTATCTGTACCGACTGCATGCTTTTAGGTTTATAATGTGCTATGCTCATGTTTTTAGTTTGTTAATACATTGACTTTTAATTTAACATCATACGAGATAAATGTTTAATAATTATGTCTTTTCATAGCAGCAGTCAAGAGGAGAAAAGCTATGCATGAATTCAAAACCAGGTGTGTGTAAAACATAAATTAATATAATGGCTCACACAAAGTTTAGGAGAAGAAAGTGTGTTTATTAACTGCTGTTGTTTTGTACTAACTTGACAGCTGTATTTATAACTTTTTATGGCTGTAAGTTCTAAGTTTTGCCTGGGAAAAGAGATTTCAGAGCTTGCATATTACATTACATATATCCTAATTAAGGGTAAAAGTTCTTGTGGTTTCTCAAATACTATTTTCTAACAAAAGTAATGTCTGGTTTAATGTAGTTTTCCCCTTCAGGAAAGATTTTGCTAACAGCATAATACATCTATCCAGACTTTTTAACAAGAATCCTGATGAGATACTAGGCTTTGGAGTTTTATCTCCAAATGATGAAAACCTCCTAAGTCTTGACTTGTATGTTAATGCTTGCTTTTCATGCTTTGGAAGATCCTGATGTGTAGATTGGTATCCCCAGGGTTCCACTTCTTCATCTCCCTTGTCTTTATGATCACACTCAGAAGTGTGAATTGCTGGTCTCTGGTTGAGCTTGGTTTCAGCTGCTCATGGCAAACACAAGATTTGTTCACCTCTGGATTCCTATTTAAGGAGAGACAGCTATGAGGTGTTCCCAGCAAGCTCAAACACACCTCCATGCTGAGTTCAGATGAGCAGCAAGAGGAGCAGAAATGTAATTCTTCATACAGGGTCTGATCATTAAGAAAAAAAATTGCGAGGGATGATTCTCAACCCAGAACTCCCACTGCCAGTGGCCAAGAAGAAAGGGTATGATCAGAGCAAGTAGTACTTCACTGGAACTGTCAGGATTATTCACTGGTGAATTCAGAGCTCTGCACTGAATTCTCAGGCTTATGTGTGGAGACTAGCACTGACTTGCCCATTTCTGCAGGCAGTTGTTGCTTTGGACAGCAGTCCTTGATGTAGATGTGTTTCCAGTCTGACTGCATCAGCTGGCTCCCAGTTCGTGGGCACAGAGGAAAGACTGCTTCTCTAGGGAATACTCAGATGGAACAGAGTTACATTTCTCTGTTCCTTCTCCTGTTCTTTCACATTCATTTCCCTTGTATGCACACATTGCAACTTTTTTTTTTCTGCTTTGGATAGTAGTTTTATGCAAATTGTTTCATGGGACTGTTTGTATTTAAGTTATATAGAATTTCCTTCACAGGGCTATTACCTGATTAATAGCTGAGAATGAAGCAAATGAAAGCTGATGTACATATTTGGGATATAGATCCATGGTAAGGCTGAATGAGAAGATGGGGGTGGGAAGCTGGTGATTGTGTGAAGCCTCTCCTCTGTCTGTGGGCTGTGGTGGAGAAAAACGTGAATATTTTTGAGGAAGGTGGATCCTAGAAGTGTTTACTGTTGCTGGCAAAAAGGAGGAAAGATGTCAGATACTCTTGGTAATACTCCCAGCCACATTAATATTTCAGCATGGTTAGAGGTGATAAAGGTGGGCATTAGTGTTCCATGTTCCCTGTACAGATTAGCCTGGAGAGATCCATGCTCTGTTTGTGTGTAACCCATCCCAGTGGAAGAACAATAGTGGGACTGCTCTGAAAAAGCCTTAGTGCAGCTGGCCACAGGGGAGACCAGAAGCCTGAGAAAGTCTGTAGCTTGTGCTGAGAAAAATGTCTCTCTCTTCCTTTTTCCATTTTGGAATGGTCAGGAGCAGGGAGGGCTGGGAGGGTTTGTGCTTGGGAAGTCTCTGTGTGGCACTGCCACGGCTGATGGGACCTGTGGCAGTGTGGGGCTGGTGCAGTGTGTGACTGTTGGAAGAGGGGTTTTATTCTTGCAGATAGATCTTACAAATACAGGGATCCTGTAAAACTTGTGAGTAATGAACAGCAGCAAAGGTCTTTGCCTCAACAAAAACACACTGGGATGCAGAGAAGGTGTTCACACATGACAGAAGCAAACATGTAAACTGCAGTTCTGTGTTTACCAAAAATCAGGCTGTTGTCTGGATTTTGAGGTTTTTTCCTCCATCTTTTCTTTCTTTAACAGGCCGTGAGATTCCCATTAAAATGAAATATGGTCTAAGTGATAGACTTGGCACTGTGTGCTGTAAAATAAGGAATTACAGCTTGTGCTTATGTATTACTCTGTACTTAATAGGTCTTAAGTAGAAGAGAGGATTTGCTTGACTAACCTTCTGAAGAGGAAAGCCATCATATGATAGCATAATTAACTTGAGATAGAAGACTTTTTTTTTTTTTAATGACAAAATTCATGGCTCATTCTTGTTGGCAAGCTATACCCAGGCATTCAGTATTTTCCACCCTAAATTTAGTATGATGCTGAAAGTTAAACTTTCCCTATGGTTGAGCTGCATCTCTGATGTTGTACCAGACATTTCAGAGGCCTTTTTTTGTTTGAGGAAGATCTTGACATTGACATGCCTTGCGTAAAACTGTTATTTTGCATTCAGACTTATGACTTAGGAGGAAAAAAAAAAACCCACACGAGCCCTTTTAGACCATAAAGGTCTTCTAATGGAATTTTACTATTATTGAAAATTACCATGTAGTAACCATGACTTTTTATTACTGTTTGATCTCATGTACTGATTCTGGTGTGATGCAAGTGGAAGGTCTGATTCCTGAACTGCAGTAAAGCAAAATGTCCTATTATTATGTAGCTCTACTGACTGAATTGAGAATCTGCTTTAAATTGCTGCTATCTGTATGCATGCTCTGCATGTTCTTCTTCAGAGCAGAAATCGGAGCCTTAGATGTCGGTGGTCTGGTCTGCAAGAATCCCACATGGATAAGAGGATAGGCAGATTATTTTGAAAGTGCTTATTGATTTGAAATTACAAAGTCATTGTACAAACTGCTTTGCTTCAGTGCTGTTGTCACTGGCAGTGCAGCTCAGTTTGTCAAATCTCTCCTGCTGCAGAGACTGACAAAAAAGTAGGGACTTCCTTCCTTCTTTCCCTATCAAGTTAATTTTGCAATTCTTGGCTCACATTTCAAATTTTACCTTTAAAAGAAGCTATTTGCAAAAAAAAAATTGGAAAATAGATAGATCAGGTCGTGGGTCTTGCATATAACAATATAATGCAACATTTTAACTTTTACCCACAGATTTTTGTCACTATTCTATTGTAATACTGCAACCTTCTTTTTGTATTTTCTTCTGGGCTCTCTAATTAACATATTCTGGATGAAATTGGTGCACAGTTGCTGCCACAGTATAAAGTGTTCCCAGGTTGATGGCTGGCTGACTTTAATGATCTTGATTCTTGCCTGTAGAAAAAGCCAGAAATGATGTAGGTATAATTTAGATAACTGTGGGATGAACTACCTAAATTGAAAACCTCCTCCACTGCCTTTGGCAGGAATCTCTCCACCATGGTAATAATTTTTTCTTGCCTTAAAGGCCTGCATTAGAGGGTTCTTCTAAGAAAGTCCCTTGGTGCTGAAGGGATGATGTCCTTTAAAACCACTGCTTTTTCCTTGGCTCATGGGCTAGAAATCCTGCTCTTTATTACAGTCTTTAATGTGTTTCAATAATCTAGAATGAAAAAAATATTAAAATGGGCAAAAAAAGAAGAAAAAATACCTTAGGAGACCATAGGAAATATTTCTTGTGAGATGTGATGTAGTGCTACTCAGTTGTTAAATTAGATCATATTGCAACATTTATTAATTGGGTCATATATCTGGTGCCAAGTTTCGGATCATGGGTATTTGATCAAGTGATAGCAGAGCTTGAAAAACTAATTTTATGTTTAAGAGATATATACATCCCATAAATGTTTGACAAATGAAAACAAATTGTTGCAATTCAGTAGTCTCAAGCACACTTTGATTAGGAAATTATTTTCTTCTTGTTATTTTCAGTATGGATTAGCTTCATTTTTGAGTCTTCATAGATTGATTTTTGTAATTCAGCATTTTCACTTCCAGTCAGAGTTGAAATCTATGCAACCATTTTCTCATGTGGTCAAAAAGGAGTACATTGAGTTTTAATGTTGTAACAAATATAACCCAGTAGGACCCTTCAGTCAGTCTGGACTGTGGATTCATGAAAATAAAAGGCAGGATTCATCAGGATATCTGCCAGAACTGTGAAATGAAGCTGTTATGGTATGTGTTTCTTTTTAGATCTCATAAATGGAGCCCAGGAACAGTGTGAATTGCCTCCTATGGATGGTTTTCCTCACTGTGAAGGGAAAATAAAGGTAAGTGAACTGGTTTTAATCTTATGTGCATTCTATTAAAAATAGAACATATATTGCAAGAGGTCACTGTTCAGTAGTGAAGTAAGCAAGAAAAACTGAGTCAAAAAATAGGATATTTAGGACTGTATGTCACTGCAGCATTGCTCTCCTCAAGCCTTTAATACTAGTGCTGCAGAGAAATAAAGTGGTATCCTCTTCAGGCAGCAAAACCTGCCATATTAAAATGCTATATTATTTACTGAAAAGCCTTATTGTTGGAATGCTATCTTTTCATTCAGAAACTACTCCTTTTGGAAAAGCCTTGATTTCTTCCCCATGATGAGTAATTTGGGGCACCCCTGTCCCAGGACTGTGATTCTGTGGGTACCTCACTCCAGCCCCTTTTCCAGCATGATGTTTCTTTGCACTTCTTTCATCTCTTTGCCCACAGGTCTGTGTGGTTCCACTATTCCCCTTTTCCCTTGAAAACATTCTGGCTCTTCTGCTCACAAGTGACCAGTGCCTAAGTGTGCAGCCAGAATTCTGGGATTCACAGTGCATTTCTACATAAGTCCTGTATTTTACTAATAATGCAGTTGGAAAGCCTAAATATTACAACCCATCAGACTTTAGCTGGAAAAGAAGAAAGAAAAAGGCAACAAAAGCAAAGAAACAAACTCCAACAAACTTGCAGAGATGGAGGTTTTAAAGGGGTTTCTTTTTTCCCTCCAAGATCTATTTATTACTGTGAATGCCCCATCCCTAAAAGTTCAAGACCAGGTTGGAAGGGGCTCAGAGCAACCTGGTCTAATGGAAGCTGCCCCTGCCCATGGCAGGTGTATTGGAATGAGATGATCTTTAAGCTCTCTTCCAACCCAAAGTATTCTGTGATTCTATGATTAGTGGTGGACAACAGTAAAATTTCTGCTTGCTTAAATACTCAAGTATGTATGAAATTAAAAGCCTCTACATTTTGAATCTCTGGTCTGTGTTTTGATCTGTTTTGGCAAACAGGCTGCATAGTAACTATGTAATAAATTATTTGAATATTGAAATATGAACTGAAATTAATTATTTGCTTCTGCAGAAATGGCAGATTTCAGTCTTGGTAACTGAAATGATATGTGAAATTCTAGAAGGGAGCATGTCATGGTGGGAAACACACAATGCATTCAACTCCAGCCACAGCCAAATGTCTGGATCCCAGTTTAATTCTCCTTTTGATATTTGTCTCTGCTGGCCTGGCTGCCAGTTTGTATAAGCTGTGCTCACATCTGCTGTGCTGTTGCTTCCCCAGCATTACTGGAAGCATGGATACAGTGCCGCTAACCATTAATCAGTTCCTGGGTTGTTACTTGTGATATTTATAGTCACTTTGCCACTTCCTCCATTATTCCTGGGTGTGAAACAAAGCTATTTTGTTGTACTTGAGCCTAATAAACTTTTGTGTCTTTTGTTCTGCTGCAGTGGATGAAAGATATGTGGCGATCGGATCCCTGCTACGCGAGCTATGGTGTAGATGGGTCCACATGCTCCTTTTTTATTTACCTCAGTGAGGTCAGTCATCTTTTCATCTGCAGAAGGGGAACATAATATTGCCTTCATAGCTTTCTACCTCTCCCGAAAGAAATCATCATTTTGTTCAGAATAATTGGGTAAAGAGGAAAAAGTTATTAAAACTGAATTATTAAGTGTGTTGCTATTATTCATAAACTCTGTAGGGGTTTCTAGCCTGAAGAATCCTAATGTTTGTAACTGCAGTGATGTACGTAGCAGCTCTCCAGGGAAGCCACGTTGGATATCCTGTTAAACCTGCATGTGAAGTTCAGTCAGAGATCTTTGCCTTTAAACACTTTTTCTGTTGCTTTTAATGCAGCTGCTGAGGTACTACTAGGGAGACATTTGGAATGGAAAATTTATAAAATGGTGCTAGATGGTCCATTGTCCTAAGCAGCATGGCCACTTCCTGCTCAGAATTGTGGAATCTGTAAGCAGGAACAAAACAAGAGAACCTGAACGTCACATTTTTGAGTGAAGTTGCAGCTATATTGGCTAAAGCCTTCGGTACCTGTCACAGCCTGATGTGTTTTGTACACAGCTGAGTAGGGCACTTGTCCTGGTGAGATTTTATTTCTATTTCCTGGGTGATAATTCTTTCCCAAGAATTAATTTTGTCAAGTAATTATCATGAGAGCTCTATTATTGGCTTGAAGTGTGCATGCACCAGAAATAGTCAGGTGTATTTGATCACTCAGCCTCTTCTTTCTTATAAATGAAATTTTGATAACTTATGGCAACTGATCTTAGAAGGAGTATTGATATCCAGTAGCTCACTGCTTGCAAAGAGCTGAAAGAGCCAATGTGGCTGCAGGATTGCAACTAATAATAATTTCGTAGCTTCTGTAGGATTGGGAGGGTTGGGCTGGGATTTTGAATTATATATCTGAGATTAAAACAGTAAGTCTGTTATAATAAATAATTCAGTTCTAATCAAAGCAGTTACTGTTGATTTACTCAGTTGACTGTCATTGAACTTCTGGGGGTGTTGCTTGAAGCAGCAGTAGTTAAATGCATATCCAAAACATTTATCTGAAGGCATAACAAAGGCTGGGTTGAATCACAGTTTTGACTCATTCCATTTCTAGCACCACGTGTTGATTTATTTATGGGCTGTGAAGCTGTGGAAGGAGAAGATACAGGACAACTATATTATTTATCTTGTTATTTATCATAGAGGCTAGAGATATGGTTTCATAATCATCTGAAGTTGATCTAAGGTTTCTACTAGGAGGTTTTGTTTTCGCATCAGAAGAGCTATGTTTGGTCATTAGTATTCTGTCAACCAGCAGGTGCTTCATGGTTTCAGTGCAGATATATCTTAAAAATGATGATGTATCTCAGCTGAACATGAGATTCTAATATTCTTCAATGACATTTATTATTTTGCCTTTCTGTTAAATCCCAAGTTTTTACGTGACAATCTTCCTTTATCATCAGTCTTGAAAAGTCAGTTGATGCTGTTAGGTCTTTCATAATTGATCTTTCATGGCCAGATGTGAACAGATTTTCAGAGGCCAAATGGTTATTTTTTCAAGGGTGTTGGGATTTGAATTTTTTCTTTAAGCAGCAATATTTAATTTGGTCAACTTTTCATTTCATGAAGGAATAAAAGTGCAATTAGCCTGTGGACATATTTGGTAACTTCAGAAAAAGGTATTTTTTTCTTTTTTTTTTTTACTTTTAGAGTATTTTCTTATGACAGAATGTAAAACTAATATTGGGTGAGCGTGTTATTAACCCTGAGTTTAAATTTGGCATTCTTAATCCTATGATTAATTTCATGATTAATGTCCAGCAGCAGAGGTTGAAAGCTTAAATGTTTGCGAATGCAAGCATGAAATGAAATTCTAATAACACTACAATGATGTGGATTTATGAGGTGCGTTGGCTGCTAGGGATAACTGGGAAATGCTGTTGCAAAGTAATTTGTCAATGTGGACAGTGATGAAGAGTTGACAGTTTATAGCGTGGTTGTACAGCTGAATGATAAATGTGCCTACAGAGCTCTCAAGTCAGAACTGCTGATTTAAAATATTAAAATGCATTAGGGTAATGGAAAGGATATTACTGTTAAGATTTTTCATTTTTACTTCAAGGTTAGACTATTGGAGTGAGATGGTTGTGTTATGTGCATGTTTCAAAAGGCAATGTATGCATCAAATTATGTACAACATCAGTTTGGAAAAACAATGTGCATGAAATTATGCATATATCTACTTTTACTGTTGAAATCACCTCTACAGTCAATGGTGACAAGTGTCGATGCTCTTTTATACTCTTCTGTGATCTACTTTTTTTATTCTGAAGCAGTTCAGTTAGGGTGTTCCATTATGCCCATCCAGTACTCTTTATAATGTAATTTTAAACTTGTAAACAAAGGAGCCCGAAATGTTTAATTTTGGTGTGCAATATGGGTCAGAACCACAGAGACAGAAAGTAATTTGTCCACAGTTTATGTAAAGGTTTAGAAACAAAAGGTTGGCATAAGCCCAGCCTTTGGGTATCAGACGTGTGCCCTGTTATGTTTTCCCCATGAGTGTCTGCAAACAGAAACAATGCTGACAAAATCCAGGCTGCCCCAGGTGTTCCCTCCTGAAGAGCTTGCTCAAGTGCAGGTACCAGCAGTTCTGCCTTGCTTTGGGTGACAGGAACACCTGCAGGAACACAGCTCTTCTCCAGTGCTCTGTGTCTTGGCTGCTTGAGCAGAATGGGAGGCAAGTGTGGCAGCCCAAGGAAAGCAAGAAGCAACCCAGCATGTCCAGGCTTCTGCATTTTGTTTAATGCTGACCTCTGTGCAAACTTGCAAGTGAAACAGAGAATTTTTGCACTTCTTTCTCACTGTTCTGCTTCAGGTGCTGGATCTTCTCCGGGGTGTGATAAGCAGCTGTGTGATCATAGACTCATGGAATGGTTTGGGTTGGAAGGGGCTTCAAAGCTCATCTTGTTCACACCCGTGCCATGAGCAGGACACCTTCCACTGTCCCAGGCTGCTCCAAGCCCTGTCCAGCCTGGCACTGGACACTTCCAGGGATGGGGCAGCCACAGCTTCTGTGGGCAGCCTCTGCTCCACCAACCTCTGGTCCTCAGAACACAAATTGTGCTGGAGTCTTTTAAGAGTGGGTGAGATAGAAATGGCCTGAATAGCAAAACCAGGCTTAAATTCTCTTGAATACAGAGCCAGACAGGAATTAGAAATAGCAAACATTAAAAAGTAAGTTAAACTTGCTTCTTTTTAACTGTGATGCCCAAAGAGAAGAGTTACTTACTTTTAAACTTAGCATTCAGTTATGGAAAAAGCAGTTGTTTAACACTGTAATAGCATTGGCACAGTTATCATTTTCAGGGATTGCATTGCCTCTGGGCAGAAATGGGAAAAATTAATTTCTAGGCAGTATAAAAATATATTTCACTGCAAAATGTCAGTTTGCAGCTGAAGAATGACACTTTTAAAAATATCTTCTAGAAAATGAGTTTTTCACACTATTTCCAAGCTTTAAAAAGAAAAAAAAGTGGAGAAAATGGAGGGAACTTATAGATATTTTTTTTCTTTCTTTCTTTTTTTAGCTACATACATGTTTCTCTGGGAGGGCTGCTTTCCACAGGAGTGGGACTGGTGGTCAGCTGGTAGCTGTGGTGCAAGTTACCCCCTCCCATTACACTGGTGCTTACCTGCTGGAGCTGGGCAGGTCTCTCTAAAATCCCAGGTTTTGGATCTCCAGCTCACCTTTCAGGTGGACATGTAATTTTTGGTACCCATCTTGGAATCCAGCACTTCAAAGATTTAAAACTGGTTTGAATTCCAGTCTGTGAGACTCCTGTAGCTTTTGCATATGAGCTAATACACTGTTGGAGAGAATTCTCATTTTCAGTTCTTCAGACTTGATGGAAACACAAGGCACAGTTTGGTAGTGGGAGTATTTTTCTTCATATTCTTACTTCTGCTTTCAGGGTTAAAGCAGTAAAATACAAACCAAAGGTGATTTTGAACATGGATTTGGTTCCAGGGTGCAAGCTGTAGTCTGAGGCACAGTTTAGTGAAAATTCCTGGGTATCATAATTATAGAGATTCCTTTAATCCTTGTGGTTTTTCTAAATTACTGCAATTTGCTTATGTCCATGGGGAAGTCCCCTTTCCACAATTTCTGCTGCTAATCCTGGACATTGAGTTGATGATTTGCATTTCTTCAGTGTAATGTAACATCAAACCAGCTTCTTTCAATTCTGTGCAAATAATCAGAATTTTCACAAAACCAGTGTTGTTGTCTGAAATGTAAATCACCAAAAGTTCAGACATATTTAGTCATCTTACATATGTCCCTAAGAAAGTGAAATGCTAATGATAGTCAGCACTTTATCCCTGAATTACCTGTTGGTAGATTGGCCTGATTTTGGGTGATTTGGGCTGTTGTTTTTTCTTCTTCTGTCACCTTAAACTGGGATTAGTCTTTTAATGACTTGTTGGAAAAGACATAAATGCCAGTATATGAGAGGAATCAAATACAGTGCCCATTGCTGAAGGCAGACAAGAGGCTGTTTGTTGATTGATGTGTGAAATGTTGTGTTGCAATGTCACTGGGGCTGTGGGTACCTAACACCCAACATTTGAGACTGCCTTTGAAAGAACCACATCCAAAGCTGCCTGCATCCTACTCCATTTCACTAACCAGACAGGCACTCATCTTGCACATCACAGGTTCTGAAACCTCTTCAAAGGGATTCTGTCACTGAGGAAAATGCTAAACAAAAAACAGGAGTTGAACAAGTCACCTTCCCAATGGGAGCTGTCCTTTCACATCAAATTCTCAAAG